CTATCTTAAAAGACAAAGACAGATTCAAAATTCTTAGATAAGCATTTAAGGAACCCTGGTGGCACAGTGATTTAAGTGCTTGACTGCCAACCAGGTGGTTAGCAGTTTGAATCCACCAGCAGCTCTGCAGCAGAAAGATGTGGCAGTCTGCTTCTGTAACGATTATTGGTGGTGGTGGTGCCATGGAGTTTGTTCCGACTCAAAACAGCCCATTCCGCACGTTCAAGAGGGCTTTAAAAAGTTCCTGGAAAAATTGAAAGATACTGGAATTTTTCCATGGACTTCTTTGAAGACACCTCGTAGTAGGTGTGTGTTGATTGAAATCATTGTTTTCCTTAGCGAGAGGGTGTTCCAAGTGGCTTGAGTTTAATCACAGGTTTATATTATTCTGGAAAAGCGTGACCAATGTCAGATGGAAACAGTCAACAACTGGCCAATGATTGAAGAAAGAGAGGTGTGACTAAGTCCCAGACATAATCAATTAAGCTGTCTCTCTTTTTAAACCTGACTTTTTGTTGAAACGTGGGGGCATTTAACTAGATTAAATGTGGAAAATAGAAACACAAGAGAAAACTTCAACTTTTTGTATAGTAAGTTCATTGTTGAGTATCACCAAATCTCATGTTTTAAAAACCCACCCATGTTTCTTTTTTTTTTTTCCTTTTGTATTTATAGCAAATTCCACTTTGTATTATTTATATTCACCTAAGCCTTCCCAGGACTTCCCAGGAGTCCTGGTATGGTGCTGTAGGATAAACACTGGACTGTAAACCATATGGCAGTTGGCAGTTCAAACCCACTGGATGCTTCTCAGAAACCCTATACAGGCTCACTATGATTTTAAATCAACTCGATGGCACTTAACAACAACAAAGCCATCCCAACTTAGCCAGGCAAATTAGCTGACCATTTAAGGCAGATTTTCAGGACTTAAAATCAGGTTGCTAAATGCATTCTTTAACAGAAAAATTGAAGAGCTGGTGAGGGACTTGGTTCTTAACATTTTCCTACAAATACTTGAGACTTTTAAAAAGTACAGATTATCTTGCAGGTCCATGTACAGTTGTATTTCTTATGGTGTCTCTTCGGACTGAGAAGGGTTTTTGTTAGAAGGCTTCCTAGGATCTCTACAAGAAAGGGAAGTAAGGCCTCTGAGATGAGATGCTCTCCAAGTATCTTCAGAAAGCAGCAGTTTATAATTAGAATACCTAAACTGGGGCTAGAACTTGCCCAGTGAAGGAGGCTTCCTGCAGAGCCTTTGCATTGCATGAGACCATATCCCAATCCAGAATCTTCTGAGGTGGGAAATTTCCACTTGAAAAGACAAGCAGACCAGCCGGGAGCAGCTAGAAGAACAGAAGATACTTCTTGAAAGAAAGACCAGCAGGAAAAATAACAAAAACAATAATGGAAGTCTGATTGACTACTACAAGAACAAGCAAGTTGTTCCCCTGGGAGCCATCAAGGCAAGTGGTCAGGTCCCCTCAAGGCAAGCCCCCTTCCAAGACTAAAACACAAGGGGAATACATGAACAGGCATGTGGTCTTGCTACTGACCACGTTGGTCACCAATAAGGGGAAGAGGGGGGAAAACAGCAATGAAGTTGTAAGCTAAGTCCAGCCACATTCAATAGACTCATGTTAACCTGAATTGAGACCTGATTGGTTAGCAGTATGATGAGACCTGGGGACTCCTGGATACAGGGACAGGGGCATGGCCACAGAAGATTAGAGTGGAATGTGACATGTCCAGCTGATATGGAGTGAGGGGCAATGCACGAGAATACCCTTACTTGAAGATAGTACCCATTTGACCTGATATCAATGACTGGATGATCAGAACTCAACTAGAGGAAGAAAGAAGAAGAAAAAAAGAGTAATCCACTGCAATTTGATGAACTTGATCTATGCTGTGGATGCATTAGGGCAAAGGAGCAAACAATTCTTTACAGTGAGGATAATTCCACCCCCTTTGTACACAGGGTCGACAAGGATGGGCAACTTAGACATTGTAGCCTACCCCAAATGGGGACTACAAAGCAAGAAGTGACTGGCTTACAAGTTTTCAATAGGGATCCTAGTTCCAGATTATATGGGGAAAGGTAGAATTACCACTGCGTGGTTTTCAACCTGTCTGGACAGGGCTGATGAAAGAAGATGGGGATAAGACTCTTGTGGTTCAGTAGGAAGTGATTGCTATCAGGACTGACTATGAGTGTTAGAAAGATAAAAGTAGACATTTTTTAACAAATGGAGGGGAGTGGTTGATTTTGCAGTCCAGGAGCGGAAGTCCCTGGAACCATCAATGGAGAAAAGTGAAGTGCGGGACCCTATCCAGAGAAGCAGTGATCCCGGGGTGGAGGCAGAGCTGATGATGTGGAGAGATGGAGTGGCTGGGTACTCTGGACTCAGGGAGGGAGAGGGGCTGTGTGCTGGTGTCCTGGGGACAGGCATGTGGGAATGCACCCTTTAGTTGTTTGATGATGCATGCAGGGAATTGTAATCATGGCAATGAAACGAAATACGATAGGATGAGTGTAAAGATAATGTTCACCATGTAAACTATCACATAATTCACAATAAAAACTTAAAAAAAAACAAACCAGTTTATGCCCTGTGTGAGCTCTATAATTTGCCAAGAAAGACATTAAAAATTTTAATCTATAGACTGAAGCACATTACAAATGCAGTAATGCAGTGTGACAACATGATTTAAGGACTTAAAAAAAAAAAAGTACCACTGGATTTTTTTCGGTAGTTTAGACTACTTTCTATTTTAAAGTAAACTCTTACTTAGCTTGAGTGTATAGTTTTTGTTTTTCAATCTGTAGATTTAATAGATGCCACTTACATCAAATCTTTTGCATAAGCACTTTCTTTAAATATAGGATTTATAAGAATGAATTCTCAATTTTAATTTCTGTGTTAAATGAAAGGCGAAGAAAGCTGTTTAGGTGACTTGTAGTTATGTGCTGTCAAGTTGGTTCTGTCTCATAGCAACCCTGATGAATAGGGTTTCCAACACTGCAAATCTTTGTGGAAACAGAAGTCTCATCTTTCTCCCACAGAGCAGCTGTGAGTTTGAACCACCGACTTTGCGATTTGCAGTCTAGCATTTATTCTACAAAACCACCACACTCCTACTTTTGTCCATAGAATCCTCCAATATTTCAAGCCAAGGCTTGAATTTTTTCTTCAGTTCTTCCAGGTTGAGCAATATTGAGCATGCCTTCCTTTTAGGTTTTTTAACTCTTTGCACATTTCATTATAACTAACACTTGTCTTCTTGAGCTGCCATTTGAAATTTTCAATATTGTTCTTTTATTTCATCATTTCTTCCTGTTACTTTAGCTTTTCTTCATTCAAGAGCACGTGTCATCCTCTGACATCCATTTTGGTAAATTCTATTCTATCTTTTTAAAGACCTTTTGCTTTCTCCTTGTATTATATTCTTGATGTCATCTCATAACTCTTAAGATCTTCAGTCACTGGTGTCTAATGCATTGAATCTGTTCATGAGATAGTCTCTAAATTCAGATGGAATATACTCAAGGTTGTATTTTGGCTCTTTTGGACTCATTTAAATTTTCTTCAGCCTCAGCCTGAACTTGCATATGACAATTGATGGTATGTTTCACAGTTTGCCCCTGCCCTTGTTTTGAGTGATGATACAGATTCGCCTAGTCTCTTCCCACAGGTGTAGTCAATTTGGTTCCTGTCTGTTTATCCACATGCAAGTTGTCGTTCATGTTGTTGATAGAAAGGTATTTGCAATGAATAGTCACTGCCTTTGCATAATTCTGTCTTGTAATCTGCAGGCCATATTTTCCAAGTACTGGTCCTTTCTCCTACAAGGTGATCTATAGGAACTAGAAAAACTTATTTCCAATTTTCCTCACAGTCCCCTCCCCGCTCCTTCAGCAATTTGTTATGCATGAGTGGGCTTCAAACGTCCATGGAAAATTCCATTATCTTTTAGTTCATTTTTTTTCACAAACTTTTTGAAACCTCTTATATTTGGTAATAGATGATAGTTACATGGAGAAACACTGCACTGACCTTATTGTTGAAACGAAATAGAATGGATTTTCCTGATTCTGTTTCTGTAAGGGAAGAATCAGTTTTCTAATTTCAAATGATAGTGTTTTAATTTCTCTATTTGTAGATACTATATGTGAAAAGTGAGCAATTTTTATAAGTGTATGGTGGGTGGGGTGGGGTAGGAATTTTGAAGGCATTGAAACTGTACAGGTGCAGGTATAAAATTAGATGCTGATATCTTTTGGATTTCCTTTGGAGTAAGGGAAGAGTTCATCTTAACCATTCTTATATACTCCCATACAGCTATTCATCTCTGCGTTTTATTCCATGCCTTCAATCTGAGAGGAAAACATGGCACCATCAAACACGAAGAAGGAATGATTGAAAGAGGAAATGAATATTTAACACTGCATTGTTTATGCTGTTCCCAGTGGGAGGGATTATTGTTAATAGCAGTGATTTCTTTTGTTTCCCTAATTGATAAAATCATTGATAACAAATGATGATGGTCATTTTGATGATGGTCGCCGATTGTTTATTTGCCTTTAGTTCTGGTGTATGGACACCTTTCTTTTTTTTTAAGGTTAGAAATCACTTGACCCATGTTTGCTTTTTAAGTGTCATCCCTTTTGAGTAGCAAATGTATTATTATCCTGGGTTTCTTAGATCTTCTTAGGAATTATAGAATTGTTTAGATACCGTCTTTCATAATTTTGTTAATAGTTGTGATTACATATTTTCTTCAGACAATTATTCTTCTAATTCTTTGCAGTGCTTGAATTTATTGTCTTGTTCTCTACTTGTTTCAGCATCTACTTAGAGCTTCCTGAATTGGCTGAAGTAAGAACGTGGTTAAGACTTTATCTTGCCATATTATATAACCTGTGACACCCAGCAATAAAACTCTGAGGAAATCTTTGGTCTCTTGCTAACGCACACAATTCTTGTCTTTGTGTTCAGGTATTGTGGAGGATTACAAGCCACCCTTCTATGATGTAGTTCCTAATGATCCAAGTTTTGAAGATATGAGAAAGGTAGTTTGTGTAGATCAGCAGAGGCCAAACATACCCAACAGATGGTTCTCAGACCCGGTAAGAGTGCCAGATTCTTAATTTTAAAATTGTACTCAGCTATTGAGTTTTAACTGGTGTGGTACTGGAGGGCTGTGGTCCATGCATCTATTATTTTCTTACCATGTTTTACGCAAAAGGGTCTTAGATCTGGTTGAGTAGGTTCAGAAAATGGTCTCACTATATTTGAGTCCTGGTGTGGCGCTGTGGGTTAATGTGCCAGACTGCAAATCCATTTGAACTGCAAGGTCAGTAGTTTACGCTTACCAGCTGCTCCTCAGAAACCCTATACAGGGTTGCTATGGGTCGGAACCTACTCGATGGCACGTCACAACAACAGCAACAATATTTGATAGATGATGCTAATGAATGACAGTATTCAACAAGAATTTCTGTGATTGACCAGGGTCAAGAGTCATAAACTGGGGAGACTTATTACAACTACCACTAGCTCTGGAACTGCAATCTTCATGTCTTCCCTAGATTTTAAGTGGATGCCTTTAAGTTCCTTTCCAGCTCTGCATATTTGAATTCGAAACACGAACTTTTTCATACTAAATGGTCCTGTATTTCTGTTCTTAAGTAGTAGAAGATCTGAGACCTTGAGAAGTAAGCCTATTTGCAAAATTTCAGTATTATCTCCTGGTTAGTAGTGTTGCTAGGGTCCAGTATAGCCTATACAATTTATGTGATAAAGTCAGTTGGTGGCATTAGGAGCTCAAAGGTCAGAGTTCATGAAACTCAAGTGTGGTTCTTTATCAGTAGTCAAGACTTTGATTATTGGTTTAGAGATGACAGCAATACATCACGTTAACTTCACAAGACCTGCAGAATTCTGCAAAAACAGTGGATACAACATCAGCCCAGTTTTTCGGATCACTGGAAAACTACTTTGTCATTGTGGTGTTTTTCCTTTTCTCCTCAGACACTAACCTCTCTGGCCAAGCTGATGAAAGAATGCTGGTATCAGAATCCATCCGCAAGACTCACAGCTCTGCGTATTAAAAAGACTTTGACCAAAATTGATAATTCCCTAGACAAATTGAAAACTGACTGTTGACATTTTCATAGTGTTTGGAAGGAAGATTTGATGATGTTGTCCAGCTGGGACCTAATGCTGGCCCGACTGGCTGTCAGAACAGAATCCATCAGTCTCCCTCCCAAAATGGCTGCTTTGACAAGGCAGACATCTTATCCAGCCATGTGTTGAGGAGACACCAAAACCACCCTAACCTCACTCAATGACTGTGAACTGGGCATTTCACAAACTGTTCACACTGCAGAGACTAATGTTGGACAGACACTGTTGCAAAGGTAGGGAACTGGAGGAACACAGAGAAATCCTAAAAGAGATCTGGGCATTCAGACCGCGGCTTTGCGTATCTTTCACAGGTCTCCTAGACACTCCCCACGGGAAACTCAAGGAGGTGGTGAATTTTTAATCAGCAATATTGCCTGTGCTTCTCTTCTTTATTGCACTAGGAATTCTTTGCATTCCTTACTTGCACTGTTACTCTTAATTTTGAAGACCCAACTTGCTAAAACATTGGCTGTGTGCTCCATTGGTCTGTCTTTGGATCATAGGAATTCAATTTGGCAAAACAAAATGTAATGTCAGACTTTGCTGCATTTTACACATGTGCTGATGTTTACAACGATGCCGAACATTAGGAATTGTTTATACACAACTTTGCAAATTATTTATTACTTGTGCACGAAGCAGTTTTTACAAAACGGCTTTGTGCATGTGTTAAAGCTTATTTTTATGTGGTCTTATGATTTTATTACCAAAATGTTTTTAACACTATACTCTGAAATGGACGTTTTCTTTTATTATCAGTTAAATTCACATTTTAAGTGCTTCACATTTGTATGTACGTAGACTGTAACTTTTTTTCAGTTCATATGCAAAATATATTTAGCCATTACCCATGTGACACCACCGAATATATTACTGATTTAGAAACAAAGATTTCAGTAGAGTTTTAGTCCTGAACGCTGTGGGGAAAATGCATTTTCTTCGAAATTATCCATTATGTGCATTTAAACTCTGCCAGAAAAAAATAACTATTTTGTTTTAATCTACTTTTTGTATTTAGTAGTTATTTGTATAAATTAAATAAAATGTTTTCAAGTCAAATAGTGAAATCATTCTTCGGTGTATCAAAAAGAGCTGTGTGTCATATACAGCATTTTATGGGAACAGTAGAAAAACAAAATTAACTTGGAAATTGAATTTGCTTTTCAAGTAATGGACGTAACAGGACTACTAGGATATCCTCCAGCTCAATTTAACATCAGATCATTGGAACTGAGTTTTGGTTTATTTATTGCATTGTTTTCCTAAGTTTCCTCAACTTTGAAATGGCCTCCCTGCCTCACACAGGTGTTTTGAGTATAGTTGAGAGGAAAGAAGTAAAAGCATTTCTATTAATATAATAAGGTGTTCTTTATGAGTAATGTAGTCTGATGCATCCCATCTTGCTATCTTGGAGAAAGGCTTTTTCTATTTCCTGTATTCAGTAGGGCTGAAATACAGGGTTTAAAGTAGCCTAATAAGAGAAAGTGAAATCCTTGTGTGGCGCTGTGGGTTAATGCGCTGCAATGCAGAGTCTGTTTGAACTGCAAGGTCAGTGGTTCAAGTTCACCAGCTGCTCCTAGGAAACCCTATGGGTCGGAATTGACTCAATGGCACTTAATAACAACAACATGAGAAGGAAGGTGTTCTGGTATAAAAGTACGATAAACACTGGACTGCTTGCCATTCAAACCCACCAGCCACTCAGTGGGAAAAAGAAGAGATTTTCTGCTCCTATAAAGATTTACAGCCTTGGAAACACTATACAGGTTTGCAATGAATTGGAACTAATTCAACGAACAGCACCAAGAAAACCCACAACAGTAAGAGAAGATGTGAGAAAATTCTAGAATGTTCCCCGAAGGTAAGTCAGTAAATTACTAACTTACATAGAATATAACCTTTTGTTTTCTTGTAGAATGTATGTATATTGGAATAACATACCCAATCATTTTTACCACTTTTGTGAACATACAGAAAATTATCCAAATCATGTTTATCGAGGTTTTATTGTTTTTGTTTTTTAACAGCTTATTGAATTTTTATTTAAACTGAATACAGGTAGCACTTGGATTAAGAAACAGAACATTATCAGTGTCCCAGAAATTTTTCATGCTTTCCTTTCACTCCGTACTTACCCTAAAAGTAACTGCTATCCTGGTTCCTAACCGCTTTTAGATTAAAGGAAAAAACAAAAAAACCCTGCTACTGTCTAGTCGATTCTGACTTATGGTCATTTGACATGTTTACTTTTTTTCTGAACATTTTATAAATGGAATTATACAGCAAATGTCAGTATATGGAATCATTGGCTTATAAGGGGGTGTAAAATGTTAAGCTCTAATTGATACTACCAACTGTTTTCCAAAAGGGGTTGTGCCAATTTATAGTCTCACCAAGCTTGTATAAAAGTTCCAGTGGTTCTACATCTCCAACATGACTTAGTTGTTTGTTTGTTTGTTTTTTTAATTCCCACTCATAGCCAATAAAACAAAATTTTATATTAGCATGAATCATATATTTGTTTGTTTTATTCACTGTATATTTTTTATTTATTATTATTTTTTAATTTGGAGTGGCGGGAGGATACACACCAAACACTCAGGAATATATAATCCAGTCAAAGGGCACATTCTGCAAGTCTGCCCTTTGAGAAAGGCCACCAGCAAACAGCCTTTCTCTTTCCATGAGTCTAGAGTTCTCAGCTGTTCTATCTCTCCATGTCCTCATCTCTGGTGTCACTGCTTCTGTGAATAGGGTCCCACATTCTGCTCATGCTCTTCTCCCTTGATGGTCCTAGGGTCCTCTGTTCCTGGAATGTAAGATTAACTGCTCCCCCCCTTTATGCTATAAAACTTCTACCTTTACAGTTGTGACAATCGCAATTAATGACTTAGTTTTTGTTTTCTTTTTCATTGTCATTCTGGTGGGTGTTGTACACATAAGAAAGGGAGAGAATGAGCAAAATGATATTGGTGAGATAGCTCTTGCCATTTTCTTTAGTGACCATAATACTTAACTGAGGATAAATGGCAAGACATAAATTCTTACCTAAATCTCAGTTGTCATATGCTGGCTGAGTGTTGTTCTGTATTATTTTTATATACACAAAAACAACTGCATCTGGTGATAAACGAATGAAAGAGCAGTTCTACCTCTTAATACTAATCTGGCTGTGTAGACTGACAGGTTCTATGCAGTTCCTGAATTACATGGGCAAGTCAAAAACAAAACCATAGGAAAATAAGAATATCAACATGTGAAGCTATTTTTTCTCATCATATTCTCCACCTAGGTCTACATACTTCTAAAGGTGATGTTTCCCTCTCCCTAGCCTTTCCTTGAATAATTCTTGCTCTTTGATTTATACCATGTCAAAATGGTAGTTTTGACATCCTCGAGGGACTCAAATTGTGTTCCTTTGACATATTTGCATTCAGGGAACAAAAAGAAGCCTGAAGGTGCAAGATCAAGCCTGTAGGGTGGACATGTTAGGTTTCCCAATGATATTCTCCTAAGACAGCTCTTCTTACCATTAAAGAATGAGCAGGTGCATTATCCTAATGGAAATGGCCTTTTCCTCAGCAATGCAGTTTTCCGTTTTCTTAACACTGTATCATACACCCTCATAATAGTCCTTCTAGAAAATCTATCATAATAATGGCCCCTTTTGAATTCCAAAATACAGTTAACAATACCTCCTGAGCTGACCTCTCTGCATTTAATTTATCTAGCCCAGCAGATCTCCTCAGAAGCCACTGTTTGATTGGACTTTATTTTGAAGGCACCCTAGCAAGGTTAAGGTAAGTGTGTTACTGATAGAATTGGTTTACAGCATTCACTGATTGCAGGAACATGTATAAATACATTTTGTTTGGAATAAATCATGCATGTATAAACTGGAATCCTAGTAGTAATACTTTCTTACTTTTAGCACATTTCAAAGCAATGTTTTCTGTATCCAACTGCCCCTTTAATTGCTATTTTTAAAATAGGATTATTTGAAAATATGACATTATGTTTTTTAAGGTAGTGGGGGAATAGAAGAGGTGAGAAGATGTGACAAATCACATTAGTCCCTCTAGAAAAACAAGGTTGCATAGAATCATGCTGTCATGGTGTCCAAAAAGGAAATCAAGCTGCAAACAAGTTTGATGATGTGTCAAGACTAGAATCTTGAATTCCAAGCCCAGTGTAATCTCTGTGTGGCCACAGGTCAGTCTTCAAAGGTAACATCTTTCATCTTCGCATACATTGGCTCACAAGTCTATGATTTGGAACCTATGGCGAGAACTTAATAACTCTGCTTCAAACGTGTCTTTCATAGGTCACTTCATGGTGGTAGGGCTGCGATTCTGCCAATTCATCACTGCAATTTACAGATCAGGACACTGAAACCTAGTGAAGTATGATAGCTAATTAGTAGCAAAACTAAAACTAAATTCGTAGCTTTTTAGGCCAGAGCTTTCTCAATCACTTTGTATCCTCACTGTATCTATTCCCGTTTCTCCCAAAGTTTGTTTAGCTCACTAGGAGAAGGACTAGGAAAGGTTATTTGGTCTAGCATTTGTTTTTTATTAATGTGTTTGTTTCCTCAGGAAGATCAAGTGATAACATCTTGGACTAATGACTTTATTTTTCTAGAATATTAGCTTTTCCATAGAGGCCTGGTTTTCCTAACCTTCCTATATCCCCACCTCCCAATACATAAATGAATGATCATTTCTCCTCGTAATTTAGAATTCCTTGAAGGTTCTTTTTAGTCACTAGAGATCTGTATCATCTCTGCGCATTATTTGAACACCAGCTTAGCTACCCAAAGCTTCCTGCCTCATTTTCTCTCTGTTAGAGGTCTATAATGCAGTCTATCAAAACCTGAACTCACATATTTCAGAGACATGCTGCCCTGTGGAATATGTTCTCTGTGTTCACTGCTGCAGGCAGATCCACCAGCTGAAGCCCTACCCAATACAATCTTTTAT